CATGGTACTTCAAGAGAGGCTACCAAAACATTTCAGATCCTTTCAGATCCTGATAGGTGTTACACAAGAGATAAGACAACTCAGAGAAGATATGTGAGAAGGTTCTCCAGACACAGAACAGCTCATGCAAAGGGCTGTGGTGGGAATGGTCTTGGCTTGTTTGAGGGGCAGAAAAAGGTTCAGTGTGTTTGCACAGTGTGTGAAAAGCTGCCGGGAGAGGATGAGAGATGCGGAAGGATCTACCCCTACATGGGGCCAGATCACAGGCTGTGGGCAGTGTCAAGCAATTGGATTTTTCTCATAACCATTATTTGTGGAGCACCTATTATGCTCCAGACATTTTACAGCACTCTCATTAAGACTTCTGGGTAACCATAGAAGATTGATACAGTGACTGCCGTTTTTATAGGTGAGAGCCATATGACACAGGGGTTATAGGATGTTTTGTATCCCACAGAAAATGGCAGGCTACAGAATAGCCAAAGCAATCCTTAGCAAGAAAAGTGAAGCGGGAGGCATCATAATACGAGATCTTAAATTATACTACAGAGCTATAGTAACAAAAATGGCAATGGTATTAACACCAAAATAGACATGAAAACCAATGGTACAGAATAGAAGACACAGAGACAAACCCACATAACTACAGTCACCTCACACTAGACTAAGGCACCATAGACATACACTGGAGAAAAGATAGCATCTTCAACGAATGCTGCTGGGAAAACTGGAAATCCACATGCAGCAGGAAGAAATTGAACCCCTATTTCTCATCCTGCACAAAACTCAACTCAAAGTGGATCAAGGACCTAGGAATTAGACCAGAGACCCTGTGCTCAATAGAAGAAAATGTAGGCCCAATTCCCCATCATGTCAACTCAGGAACCAGCTTTTTCAACAAGACTCCTAAAGACAAGAAGTAAAATCAAGAGTCAATATTTGGGATGGTATCAAACTGATGAGCTTCTTCACAGCAAAGGAAACAATCAAGAATGTGAAGAGAGAGGCTCCAGAATGGGAGAAAACCTTTACCACCTGCACTTCAGATAGAGTATTAATCTCCAGGATACATAAAGATCTCAAAAAACTTAACACCAAATAAACCAAATGACCCAATCAATAAATGGACAAAGGAACAAAATAAGCACTTCACAGAAGAAGAAATACAAATGATCAACAAATACATGAAAAAATGTTCAACATCTCTAGCAATTAGAGAAATGCAAACTAAACCTCACTGAGACTCCATCTTACTCCAGTAAGAATGGCTATTATCAAGAATACAAGTAACAATAAATTTTGGTGAGGATGTGGAGGGAAAAGGTACACTCATACATTGTTGGTGGGACTGCAAATTGGTGCAACTACTCAGGAAGGCGCATGGAGATTTCTCAGAAAGCTTAAAATGAAACTGTCATTTGACCCAGTTATCCCACTCCTCAGCATATACCCAAAGGACTTAAAATCAGCTTACTACAGTGACACAGCCACATCAATGATTGTAGCAGCTCAATTCACAATAGTTAAGCTCTGGAACCAATCTTGGTGCCCTTCAACAGATGAATTGGTAAAGAAAATGTGGTACATATACACAATGGAATATTATTCAGCCATAAAGAAAAATAAAATCATGGCATTTACTGATAAATGGATGAACTGAAGACTACTGTGTTGAGTTCATAAGCCAATCTCCAAAAAACCCAAGGCCAAATATTCTCTCTGATATATGAATGCTAGCACAATAAGGGGAGGCAAGGAGGGAAGAATAGAAGCTCTTTGGATTCAACAAAGGGGAATGAAGGGGTGGAAGGGGAATCGGAAATGATGGAATAGGAAAGACAGTGGAACGGATCAGACACACTTTCCTGTGTTCATATGTGAATACATGGCGAGTGTAACCGTACATCATGCACAACCACGAGAACGAAGAGTTATACTCCACGTATGTATAATATGTCAAAAAACACTCTACTGTCGTGTATATCTAAAAAGAACAAGTTTTAAAAAGAAAAGAAAATGGCAGGCTGGAATGCACACCCGTGTTTTTCAGACTCCGAAGCCCATGCAGCTTACCATTGCATCTTGCTTGGTGAGCTCAGGGTTCCAGTGGTCACGGTGTGTCTGGGCTCCCACCCCTTGCTCCCCTGCACAGCCCCAACTGCCTGTCCCTTCTCATTCCTCCTGTGCCTTCCCTCAAGCAGCCACCGCAGGTGACGAGTTGGACGGCCAGGGCCAGGTGGCCTCCTGAGAACCTGGACCTCAGAGCCCAGGGCTGTGTCCACACCCCTTCTCCCCCCAACGGTGCCTTCTGTCCAGTGGCAGGACATCCCTGAAGCGACACTCTCGGCCACTCTCTGCCCGCTCTCACTGGCACAGAAAGAAGGGCCAGTGAGGTGGAGCGGAAGTCCTTTCTCCTTCCCGTCCCTTCCTGGTGGAACCACAGGGTCCACACGAAACTGCTCTGCTCTCCCACCGCATGCTGACAGTGCCCCAGGCAGGATCTGGTCACCCAGGGAGAGGTGGCCCAGAGCTGCCGAGGGCTGGTGGATCTGTGGTCTACAAAGTATCCTCTTGCTGCTCTCTGAGGATACTTTGTAGGGGGACAATTCGTGTTCTAGGATGAAATGATTCTATTAGGTACCCACTGCATCCAGCATGAACCGCGGGCCTCTGCCTAGTCCCCTGAGCTGAGGGGTTTGAACCCTGGTGACCACTGAATCACTGATCTTAGCCTTTCGCCTCCTCCCCAGGGCACTGTGGGAACCAGCTAAAACAAGATGAATGACAAGGGGGACCCTGGGCCACACAGCCCTCAGGGTGGAGGGAGGAGAAGGTGATCAACACGCAGAGACAGACCCTCAGGGTATGAGAGTAGGAGTAGCCAGGGGTGGACGAGGACAGGGCACAAAAAGGGTCAGAGACCCCGTGGCCTCAGCCCTGCTTAGCACGAGTGGGGGCTTTGGGGTGAGGGGGCCTGGATCTGAATCCCTGCAGCCAGTTTACTAGCTGTGACTTGGGGAAGTGGCTAATTTTTTGGCCTGAGAAACGAAGGAGGCGCCCGCCCTTGGGCATCCAGGCCACAACCTTCCTGATTGCCCTTGAGGAGCCACCAGCACTGCCCCCATCCTCAGGCCCCTCCCCAAGTCCAAGGAAGAAACGTCGTCACAGCAGGCAGCCTGGTGGAGGAGCAGACACGAGGGATGCGATGACAAGACGGGGACTTGACGCTGGCGGATCCCTGGACCCAGCCAGACCTAAAGCCCCAGAAATGTTCAGCTACAAATCAATGACTTTTATTCTGCTAAAGCCGGTGTACGACATAACTTATAATCAAAAGAACTAACAGAGCATTTAATTTAATGTAGATTCTAAGGACTTAGAGTCATGCCTGGCACACAGTAGCCACCGGGTACCTGCAGGCCAGAGGCATGTCTGGGATTCAAACATAGACAGTCTGACTTCGCAGTCCAGGCTTCTAACCAGGAGGCATGCTAAGGTTCTGCCTGAGATTCAATTAACTGGGTGATGAATTTATTGGATCACAATCATAGGTGATATCCAAGGAATTCCTGAAATACAAGTCTGTGTGTGTGCGCGCGCATACATACATACAGATACATAACCAGCCCTCCATGTCTGCAGGGTTCTGCATCTATGCATTCAAACCACCACAGAGCAAGAATGTTCAAAAACATCACATCTGTCCTGATAACCTACAGGCCTTTTGTCTTGTCATTATTTCCAAAATAATATAGTAGAGCAACTAATTACATTGTGCTCTAAGTCATCTAGCAATAATCTGAAGCATATGGGGGGAAATACATAGGTTAAGTGCAAATACTATTCCACTTTATGAGATGAGCATAGATTTTGGTGTTCTCGAGGGAACTGGTAACCAGCACAACTGTATGCACATAGAAATCCGAGATACAGGGCCCTAAATGGTTTTAAATACTGTTAAGGTCCTGGAAACCAGTATCCCAACACTGCTTACTGGGTAGTATTTGGAATCTCTGATTGACAGTCAGGGCCATCATAAGAATTTCTAAATATCATTGTATTATGTAATCAAAAATATGGATATATCGGAGTCATCGGTAGCAGGGAAAGAACATTGATTATTATTTAACAAATTGTTCAAAGACAGTATCTCAAAACATATCTAGGAAAGGCTTAAAAAAGAAGGCCCCAAGAATTGAAAAGTGGGAGACTTTCTCCAGTTCCATCTCGTCGTTTCCAATGGAGGCAGGAAATTATGGGAGCCAAGTTGGACAAAATTATACAAGGAAAAACTCCATTTTCCCAAATTCTCATCAGAAATTCATACTCCTGAGGAAGATGTGCCCATACTCATGTATTGCTTTTTTTTTCTAATTATATGTGGACTGAACTTTCCAAAGAACAATTTAGCAAGGCAGAGTTCTGGCCAGCGTTTCTAGATATGAGACGTTCCTAACCAGCCTCTTTAAATGAGCTGTGGCTAGCGGGGGAACACGGAGGAGGCCAAAGAGCAAAACCACCTGTTTCCATCCTGCTCAGACTTGACCAAGAGAGAGAAGAAAGGCAGGAGGGGCCAGCTGTCGTGGCCCATGCACCTGACACGTGTGTGTGTATGTGTGTGTGTGTGTGTGTGTGCGCGCGCGCGCACGCAAACAGAAAATAAGCAAATCCTTGCTTATTACCGACTTCCCCCAGCCCACGCCTCAGGACTGCTAGCCTCCCCCTGGTGTCTCCCATGCCCATCTTGCCACACAGTGAGCACACCACAGATTCATACTGAGTGCATCCATTTTAAGAGGATCAGGCTCTGGCCAACCAATGGACCCCCAGGAAGGGACCTAAAGGAGCAGCGTTCAAATCCTGGCTCCCATGGCTAAGTCTGTGACCCCATCCAGCTTCACTGTAGAGTAAGTCGATTCAGAGCAAAAACTCCTACAACCGTGCTGGTAGAAAGAGAAAGGATCACAGATATTTTCAAAAACACCCGTCACCCCTGAGTGAAAGTGCATATGACCTCTCATACATAGCCGAGGGGTGCTGTCTCACCCCATGGATTATGGCAATGGTTTATGATAATGGGAGATGCGGAGAGAAATAGCAAGGTTAAACGTGCTGAGTGCAGTCTCTGGGGTGCATGCAGCGAAAATAAGCACCAGACTCTACCAATGCAGATAGATTCTAAAGGGGCGGCACTGACATGCAAAACAAGCAAGCAGTCCAGACACCGTGAAGAGATGCACCACCCCACTCACAATAAGAGAAATGTGCAAATTGAATCCATGCTGAGATACTCTTCTCACCTACTGGGTTGTTAAAAATATCAGTGTTCACTCAGTTTCACTCCGGGGCAGGGCTGTGGGTACGCGGGCATCTCATACATCGCTAGGAATGCAAATGCCTCAACCCCTAAAGAGGAGGCGTTGAAGATAACTTCAAAACATGATGTTGCATTTGTCCTTTGACCCTGCAAGTCCATTCCTGGGAATCCACCCTGAAAATACACCTCCAAAAACATAACATGAGACCGGGGTTGGGTTCATAATAGATACTCATTAAATATTTACTGAATAGACACATATCACTTATGATTGCATTTGCTACTACCGTGTCAAACTTATTTCGTTCATGAACAAAAGGTATCTAGAAGCAGGCAGACCAGGGAAAGAAGGCTGGATTCCGGTAACTAGGGATGTGGGCATCTGGCTTTCTGTTCTACTCACTTGTCCTTTGGCTTCTGTCCTCACCATCATCTTGTGGTCAAGATAGCTGCCAGTCATTTTATCTATATTACAAGCCAGAGAAAGCAGGAAAACATGAGAAATGAAAGGAAAAGAATACTTGGTCTCTTTAAAAGTAAACATACTTTCCACAAACATCAAAGGACACTTGTGATTACATTTCATTTGATATAAATTAGTTACTTGGTGACATCTAGTAATGAGGGCAGCAAGGGAACCCTGGGAGCACAGCTGAATGGTGTGCCCAGTTCAAAGGTGGGATTTATTACCTAGGAGAGAGAGCGAGCGGGAGTTGCCTGGACAGCAGGAGAACACTGGTCTTTGGGGGCACCAGCTATGTGCCAGGTGTTTATCAAACTCTTTACATGAATTGGCCCATGGTCACAGTTCATGGGACACACTGATACTAAAAAAAAAAAATTATTTGTCATTTATCTGAAATTCAAATGGAATTGGAGATCCTGTATTTTGTATTCTGCAAAATCTGTCCATCTTAAATCCTCAGGATGTGCCCAAGGCTAAATGTCAAGCAGGCTTACTGGTATAGCAAATGAGACAGGTTCAGAGTCTAACTGTCAGGCTGCAAATACCCATTGATTGCAGGAACTTGAGAGAGTGCTTAGCCTCTTGCTATGCATCCATTTTTCCCATCGGATCGTAATAGTCTCTCATCTCTCAAGTCCAGAAGAATCCTGTTAGGAAAATACCCAGGATCGAGGGCATCGAAAGAGGTACAGGAAGTGAATTTTGGACAAAGGACCCTGTGCTTCATCTTGTGGTCCCCCTTGACACCCCAACAGGCTGTGGCCCAGATAACACGTGTTATCATGAATCCTCTGTATTTCGGTCATCACTAATCCTAATGATGACGATTACTCATAATAGCAGTAATTATAATCATCTATCCCACTGTGCTTTACAATGTATGAAAACAATCTCTCTCCTATTATCTCTGCCCTCCATCTCCATTTATCAACTGTAAAATATCAGAAATATTCACACTGAGGCCCGCCTCAGAGGCCACTGAGCACACTGAATAAGACCATGTGTGTCAGATCCCAGCACAGAGTAGGGATAGGACAATCCATTTGTTTAATTCCTGTACTCCGCTTCACAGCCCTAAGTGGGTGCGACATGTATCAAATATTTCTCTCTTGAACATTTACTTTCTACATTTGAATATTGAGTGTCTGTGTTAAACGTGCATGTTGCATATTTATCATGAATAATGCCTGAATGAACCACGTCTTATCAGCATTACTAAGTCACACTCACAGATGGTTTTGATGGAGGGTCATCCAGAGGCAGTTTTGAGTGGGATTTCCCGGCTCTGGGGTCTGTGCCTGGCTATTTCCACTGAGCCTGACCTTCAGGCTCACTTGGCTCCAAGCAGGAAAGACATGGGGCAGGAGAAGGGAAGTGCACCTGGGATGCTAGATGCCAGGTGGACCCCCACCCACTGGGAACACAGCTGGCTATGATTTGAGTCCAGCATGTGCAGCAGTGGCCAGGGTGAGTGGGACCCCTGCCATTTTCCTTTGCGATGCTTGGTGGAGTAGGGCATCTGTCAGGGGAGCAGGGGGTGGTGGTGGAGAGAGGGGTGAGGCTCCCCAACAGCAGCCTCATCAGCAGGTCCTCAACATCCCTCATCTATGCTTCATCCTGACACGGTGGAGACCATGTCTCAGGTTGTACAGTCACAAAAGTGACCACTCAGAACAGATGTTGGAAGGCATACTGCACCAAAAAATAAAGGCTTAAGGTCTGGCTGGGCCCAGGCCTCACAAGTAACTAGATCAGAACTGGACCTGGCCACTGCCCCATTCAACCCAACTCCCCAGAGCCAAGGACCAGAGGCGATCCAGATGCCTCTTCTTCCCTCAGAAGGATTTAAACTTTAAACTTGAACTTTCCCCCTGCTGAAGTCGCTGCAAGGACAGGCTGTGTGATATGCCCAAGACTCAGACCACCCCGGCTCACGTTGGAGTTCTGCTCCGGAGAAACCCAGGACCTTGGGAAAGTAGCTTTGTCTCCCTGGGCCCTCGGGGTCCTCACCTGGGAAATGAGGCTGATGGGAGCCTCTCTCTGGGTTGTTCTGTGGTTTAGATGAGATGATGGAGGATGATCTGTCATTTGTGGTGAGCGATTTGTGGTGGCCACCCAGCATCGGAACCTTCTGGCCAGCGGGGAGAGATGCACCTGCTCGGGTTGTCAAGTCTCAGAGTCATGAACCACAGAAGCAGAGTGTTCAAGTCAGCTTTTTAGCCCCGTCAGCACAATTATAGAGGAGGAAAAGCTTATTTGGAAGCTCACAGTTTCAGAGGTCTCAATCCACAGACGGCAGGCTCCATTGCTTGGGGCTCGAGGTGAGGACTTCGTGGTGGAGGAGTGTGGCCGGGGAAGCAGCTCACGTGAGGATCAGAGAGCAGAGAGGGGCTGCACTGGCCACATACAAATCTATACCCCCAAGCCACACCCCCAGTGCCCCACCTCCCCCAGCCACACCCCATCTGCCTCCAGTTACCACTCAGCTAATCCCTATCAGTGGGTTAACACTCCCACAGCCCAATCATTTCTCCTCTGAACCTTCTCACACGTGAGCTTTTGGGGGACACCTGACATCCAAACCATAACAATGGACAAGGGTGAATTGTTCTGGCAGTCCTGAGCAGGACCATCCTATTTTCTATGGCAGCAGGTCCCCAGTAGCATCGGGTGGCCAGACCTGCCGTAGCAGCCCCTGCCTGTGCTGTGTCATGGCCGCTGTGGTCAACACAGTAAGCTGCCTCTCGGGTCCAATTCCAGCCAAGTTCTGGCCACCTTGTTCCCTTCATGTTCCCAACTATTCCCAAGCCTTGTTTTCCAGGCTTCCTGGGGGTTCTGGGATCTCCCCCATATTCTTTCATAAATTTCTTTTCTTCTTTAATCAGCCAGAGTTCCTTTCTGCGGTGTGTGCCTCAGAGCCCTGTCTGGCCTGGCCATCAAAGGCACTTTCCCCAGTGCCCAGGCAGCAGCTGGTGTGCAGTGCGTGGAGTGTCCCCCTGAATCCATTTCCTATTTGTATTGGTTTGCATTGGGGCTGTCACAAGTTTAGGGGCTGAAAAATAACCCCCTATTGGTTATTTCACTGTTCTGTAGCTCAGAAGTCTGATCTAACACAACTGAATTCTCTGCTCAGAGCCTCCCAAGACCAAAATCAAGGCTGCATTCCCTGTCGCAGGCTCTGGGGCAGAACCCACTTCCAAGTTCACGGGTGTCATTGACAGAATTCGGTCCCCTGAAGCTGTAGGACTGAGGTTCCCATTTCCCTGACTTGTGGCCCCTGCTACCTTCAAGCCATGAAGGGAACCTTGAATTCTCGTACTGCAGCTCTCTCTGCCTTTCGCTTCTGCCCTCTTCTCCTGCATTTAAGGGCTCATGTGATTACACGGGGCCCAGCCAAGTAATCCAGGATAATCTCTCCATCTTAGAGTCAACTGATACCAGCCTAAACTACATCTGCAAAGTCCCTTTAGCCACGGAAATAACATTCAGATCCCCGGGGATTAGGCCTGGAAACTCGGGGGAGCTGTCAATCTGCCCACCAGCCACTCCTTCCCAGAAGGGTCCCAAATGCCTCCATCTCCTCTCCTGACGACCACAGTTGGTGGTGACTAGGAAAGGACTCCAAGTGAGCTCCGACCCCGGGTGCTGAGTACACACTCAGGGACTCAGCTCGGAAAGCCTTGGAGGATCTCAGAGATAGATGAGGAGGGTGGAACCAGGCAGAGGACCCAGACAGGTAGAGAGGGGTCGGAGCCAGCTGGAGTCGGGCGGGGTGGGGGGGCGAGGGGGGCTCTTCCCAGCTGTCCATCCCGGGCATCTGGGCCTGTGAGCAAAATGCAAAACCAGTGAGGAGAGGAGGGGAAAACGGTTTGCTGGGGGGGAGGGGGGAGAAAATGATTTTGATTTGAACCCGAGAAGCCTGGAGAGCGCCTGAGCCCAACCCGCGGCTTCCAGTTTCCACCTGCTGCAAAAATCCTCCTCTAGGCCAGCTCCAGAGCACGGGACTGAGCACCGCCCCCTCCCCGCGTGAGGCTGCAGCCCAGCACAGGCTGCTCTCCCAAGTTTGCAAAAATAAAGTCTGCTCAGGGGTGTTAGGAGACTCCAGATGGTACCCTGGGCTTCCTGCCCACACGCCTTATGCTCTTCAGGCCAAAAAAGGGCACTGCCATCTGAATTCTCCTCCATCCGTGCCTGCCATCTTGGAACGTGCCCACCACAGCTCTTCCTTAGCTCCTGCTCACCCCTTCCACTCCTTCTTTGGTTTCCTGCTCAGAAATACAGTGAAAAGATGATGATGGGCATTGGAATCGGAAACACCTAGGCTAGTTTCCTCACCAGCTGTGTGGCCTTGAGCAAATTACTTGACCTCTCTGAAGCTCAGATTGTTCCCATACGGAATGGAAGCAGGGATAACTATCACAGGCCTGCTGTGGGTAAAATTCCTAGCACAAGGCCTGGCACAGAGTAAGAAGCCCCATCAACGTGGGTCTCCCTACTGCAGCTAGACACACAAGTCTGTGGAACTCTTTCCGGAAACAAACAAGCTCAGCCAAAATCCCCAGGGCCAGAGCTTTATAAAGTCAGAGGGCTGTCGTGTGACTTTGCCACCTATTGACAACATGTGCCCTCTCAGAGCCCTGTTTTCCTCATCCATGAGATAGGAATACATGTTGAATATTCCTTATCTGAAATGCTTGGGACCAGACATGTTTTGAATTTCAGATTTTTTTATTGGAATATCTGCAGGTATATAATGAGATATCTTGGTGATGAGACCCAAGTCCAAACACAGAATCCATTCATGTTTCATAAACACCTTATCCACAGCCTGAAGATAATTTTGTACAGTATTTTTTTAGTGAACCTATGTTCCAACTGACCCATGAGTCAGATGTGGAATTTTCCACTTGCAGCATCGAGGTGCTCAAAAAGCTTTGGATTCGGGAGCATTTGGAATTGTGGGCTTCAGGCTGGGCTGGCTCTGCCTGTACAGGAGCCAGCTCCTCTGCTGTGCATCTCCCCGGCTCCTGTAGCAGGGCTCCCACCCTTCCTCTTGCCATGGGGCTTGGAAGCTGACCCAAGTCGACTACATCCACAGGTTGCCCCCCTCCCCACTCTCTTCTGGAGGCTTAGCCGGTCGGGGACACTGGCAGATCAGAGGGAGGGAAGCCGGAGACCCAGGAAGTCATTTCCTAGGTTCCCTCCCTGCCTGCAGGGTGGCCTCTGCCTGGCTGCTTCTCTTGGGGACAGCTCTGGTCTTGGAGGTCCTGTGGACACAGCTGTCTTCTAGAGACCAGTGGCTGCTCCTTCCTCACAGCTTTGTCGCTGTTCCTGGGGACTGAAGATCCCCCACAGCTGCCCTGCTCCCTGCCCACACCTTCCTCACGGTCCTAATGGTCCTATTAAAACCCTATCCTACTTCATGCCAGATCTAGGCGAAAGCTGGTAAGGAATGAATGAAAACATACAGGCCAAGAGCTTAGGAATGCTCTGGCCATGAGTGGACACTGCATAAGTTCTGCTTCCTAGGATATTTCATGGGATCGTCATGAGGATTACACGGGATCATCTGTGTGAGTGCTTGGCACCCTGTCAGACCCAGACTAAAACCTCAGTGAGTGACACGAGCAGAAGAGGGTTTGTTCCACCTGCTGTGACCAAGGCTGGGGACTCCTTTCCCCACCTGGCAGGAGGGAAGGTTGGTGTGAAGGTCACAGCTCCTCCTGACTTTAGCTCCCCCCCTGAACAGAGCAATTATCTGTCTGGGGAGACCAGGAAGGGTGCCCAGAGCCAGCCCACCCAAGACCATCTCGGGCTGCTCTCCAGTTCACCACCCTCTGCAGGAATTCTGGCTTCTTCCTGGGGCCCAGGTGCGGTGCCTCATGTGGGGAGAATAGGATTACCCACCTCCTCTGCCTGTTACTAGAGTTCACCAGAAGGGAGGAGCCAAAAGGCTGCTGCACCTGAGTCCGAGCCACACTCTCTAATTTGGCTTTATTAGCAAGTAAGTGAATAACAAGGCTGACTCCTGGATTGGCCGCTCCAGAGAGTCAGAACTGGGGCAAAATGAGATTATTAGGAATCTCAGATTAGAAGCTTATTTTGTATCATTTTTTTTTAAATTATTATTCTACTAAAAGGTAACTTTCAAACAAAAGAGAAGCAGCCCCGGTTGCGTGGAGTCTCCCGAGGAATGTATCACATGAGCCTTCTTGGTAAAGCCTGTCCAGTTTGTACCACTCCGTAGTTCTTGAATTTGAAGCCCCTTGAGGCTATAGGTTCAAACCTGTCCTTCTCTAATAGGGTCAGCACCGTGGATGTTTGTCATCCTTCCTGTGCCTGAAGAAGTCCCTATCCCATGATGCATTCACAAGGTAGAGGTTACTATAGAAATGAGATGTTCAGCCACGTTACCCAGTGTCCTCCAATTAGCCACACCCATGTCACACTCAGACCCTGAGGCAGATCTCGCTTGAAGTCCATTTGGGAAAGACAATGGCTATGTCTCCAATATTCAGAGGCAGCCATGACAGATGTTGCGTCATTACTGTCTTGTGCTCAAAATCACCCTGTCATGTGGGCAATGAATGGGACAATACCTATGGCCACTTGGGCTGCCCGTGAGGTCTCCCTGTCCGTACTCAGTTCTGCAACAGAATTTTGTTTCGGCCCACATAGTCTCTAGATCTATGGCCCTCCTAAAATTTCTGTGTTTAAAACTAGATAGCCTTCTATTACTTCTATCTCTGCTTGAAAGAACCAGAATTTGCCTCCAGTGTTTGAAGCTAAGAACTCGGTATGAGACAGCCGTGGTGAGCACGTCCCCCTGGGATCACAAACAACGTGAAGGCACAGGCCAAATCAAGCAAATGAAGTCCCCTGAACGGGTAGCTTTAGCAGGACAAAGTCTTGGGTCTTTGCTGTAAGGACTCTAGACTCAGAGATCCAGCCACATGCTACAGTACACACAGCACTCACATAGTTTGTTCTCTCTCTCTCTACACACACACACACACACACACACACACACACACACACACGAGGGAAGAAGGTTTCCCATGGTCTCTGGGCTGTAACACGGGAAGATGGCCACAAGCATTAATCCCAGCATGACCCCCCGGGGAAAGAGTCAAGGTCTCTTGTTACATCAAGAGGAAAAGAGAGACCATTAACTGAGGCGTACGCTTCCTAGCTGTGAAGACAAGGATTAGTGGGCCCTGAAACCCCAGTGGTCTCCCACAGAACGTCGGGTGCAGGAAGCCTTCATTAAATGACCTATGATACTGACATGAATGAAGTGCAGAGGCAGCGGGCAGTGCGAGGTGGAAGAGGCTGACA